ACCGGAATCAATGGTTCAGCTATATGGCCGGGGCATCTATAAATAAACAACATGGAAATGATTACGTCAGGACATGGCCACCCAGTGGTTGATATTATGGACAACGATGTACGTATTCAGGTTAAGATGGCAGAATTCAACCAGCAATAACTAAATCTAACCACCCTGTTCGCTTGGTCCGACTCTAATGACCAGCGAAACAATAACATTGCGGAATGAGTTCGTTATTAAGTATTTGATACTTGTATATATTTCGGCGTATTTAGGGGACTTGATATCAAAAGTATATGTTTAGAACCCTTTTCAAATCCTAATTGCGTACATCGATGCTCATGCTGTTGATCACTGGAGAATCTGATCCAGACTCGATTATTTACAGACCACCACCACATACCTAGAATATTGCTGAGTGTGGCGTTGAACAACAAACAAACAAAACATTCATAGTGGACATGAATAGAGAGCAATATGACCGTTTGGATTCTTGCATGAGGAGCAGTATCAAACGTACGGAAGTACGGTATCAGACATATAGAATCACAATCCCAAACGTACGGAAGTGAGGTATCGGATATACAGAATCACAGTCTCAAACGTACGGAAGTACGGTATCAGACATACAAAATCACAATCTCAAACGTACGGAAGTAAGGTATCAGATATACAGAATCACAATCTCAAACGTACGGAAGTAAGGTATCAGTCACATACAAAATCAGAATACAAAATCTCTCAAACGTACGGAAGCAGTCTCAAGGTATATCAGACATACAAAATCACAATCTCAAACGTACGGAAGTAAGGTATCAGACATACAAAATCACAATCTCAAACGTACGTACGGAAGTAAGGTATCATCAGGTATACAGAATCACAGTCTCAAACGGAAGTAAGGTATCAGACTCATAAAACGGTAAGGTATCAGACATACAGAATCACAGTCTCAAACGTACGGAAGTAAGGTATCAGGTATACAGAATCACAGTCTCAAACGTACAGACTTAAGGTATCAGACATACAAAATCACAATCTCAAACGTACGGAAAGGTATCAGACATACAGTCACAATCAGGTAAGGTATCAGACATACAGAATCACAGTCTCAAACGTACAGACTTAAGGTATCAGACATACAGAATCACAGTCTCAAACGTACGGACTTAAGGTATCAGACATACAGAATCACAGTCTCAAACGTACGGAAGTAAGGTATCAGACGTACAGAATCACAATCTCAAACGTACGGAAGTAAGGTATCAGACATACAGAATCACAATCTCAAACGTACGGAAGTAAGGTATCAGACATACAAAATCACAATCTCAAACGTACGGACTTAAGGTATCAGACATACAGAATCACAGTCTCAAACGTACGGAAGTAAGGTATCAGACATACAGAATCACAGTCTCAAACGTACGGAAGTAAGGTATCAGACATACAGAATCACAGTCTCAAACGTACGGAAGTAAGGTATCAGACATATAGAATCACAATCTCAAACGTACGGAAGTACGGTATCAGACATACAAAATCACAATCTCAAACGTACGGAAGTGAGGTATCAGTCATACAGAATCACAATCTCAAACGTACGGAAGTAAGGTATCAGACGTACAGAATCACAGTCTCAAACGTACGGAAGTACGGTATCAGACATACAGAATCACAATCTCAAACGTACGGAAGTGAGGTATCAGACGTACAGAATCGCAGTCTCAAACGTACGGAAGTACGGTATCAGACATACAGAATCACAGTCTCAAACGTACAGAATGTTATCAATATTATCAATAAGAACTAGAGCGACAGACTACACCAACTGTCCCACTGATATACATCCGTGTTGGGGTATCCATGTACACATGTAGCAAACAATAATCAATGCTTTGCAATTTGTTGGAGTTGAGATAGTATATATGGGAAGAATTCTCTCCAGATTGATGTTGGTTTCATTGTACTGGGACACTCATGTGTTAAATTCGAAGCGTGATTCACTTGGTACTTTAAGCTTCAATGAACGATTGACTAGACCCCTTGGTAGCAGCAAAATGAATGCTGGATGCCAAATAAAAACAGTTAAGTCTTCTTAATAGGTCCCTCGGACTTGCAAATTATTACAAAAACACCACTCGGTTGTGATTAACTACGCTGAATGATTGTTTATACACGCTATGGATTCCGCTTGATTCCCTTCATCGCTCATTGTTTGAACCAAGTCGGCGCCATTGCAACATCTAGCAATTCTTCTACATGGCGTTTAACAGTACAGACGTATAATGCATCTGTGTCAAGATCATGGGCTGTTATGTCAAGGTAGCACCATTGTATAACACTTATATTTTCCTGGATTTGTTCCGTCCGCCTACAGAAGCCCCGTAATGTGTCCACGGCTTTCATCTTCTTTGTCACCGATATGGTGACAGTCATGATCATCACATCATAACGGTATATCTCAGGTGCTCGACCCTACAGGTGATCCTAATTGTTGCTAGGCTACGACGTTTCACGTGCTCGTATTTCACTTTCGATCTAATGTTGGCTTTTTCAGATGCTTTAGAAAATGGTTGTGCTGAGGTATATGGGCATCGCTGATGTATATGTATGTACCTGAGTTTATGTGTCTATAAATCTGTCAGTGAAACAATATCGTTAGATAGATGCACAAATATGTCAGACAATCAATATTAATGTCTCAGTGTGCATTTAAACAAGATGAGGAATATGGGGTTAATGTTTTGTAGCCCATATGTTTCTTCATTTCCAAAAGATGAGTACCTTTATTAAAGGAGGAATATCGGGTTAGTGTTTTGTAGCCCATATGTTTCTTCATTTCCAAAAGATGAGTACCTTTAATAAAGGAGGAATATCGGATTAGTGTCTTGTAGCCCATATGTTTCTTCATTTCCAAAAGATGAGTACCTTTATTAAAGGAAGAATATCGAGTTAGTGTTTTGTAGCCCATATGTTTCTTCATTTTCAAAAGATGAGTACCTTTATTAAAGGAGGAATATCAAGTTAGTGTTTTGTAGCCCATATGTTTCTTCATTTCCAAAAGATGAGTACCTTTATTAAAGGAGGAATATGGGGTTAGTGTTTTGTAGCCCATATCTTTCTTCATTTCCAAAAGATGAGTACCTTTGATAAAGGAGGAATATGGGATTAGTGTCTTGTAGCCCATATGTTTCTTCATTTCCAAAAGATGAGTACCTTTATTAAAGGAGGAATATCGAGTTAGTGTTTTGTAGCCCATATGTTTCTTCATTTCCAAAAGATGAGTACCTTTATTAGAGGAAGAATATCGGGTAAGTGTTTTGTAGCCCATATGTTTCTTCATTTCCAAAAGATGAGTACCTTTAATAAAGGAGGAATATCGGGTTAGTGTTTTGTAGCCCATATATTTCTTCATTTCAATATTTTGCTTGGATGCTAAATGTTTATTTTTTCAAGTCTGCATTTCATGTTTAATCAAATACTAAATGCGCCTAGTCATTCATATGCATCTGCGGCGATACGGAATCTTACTGCACTTTAGTTAATTAAACCACTATAGGCTTTTCATTCCCTATACAGAACAGGCAATAATTTAATTTATCAGTATTAATAGTAATTCATAAACGCATGTATATGATACAATCAAATTCGTACAACAAACTTTGATTTTAGCAGATCTTTCTTGAAATGACTTAAACATAGAAAATGTAAAAGAATGTGATCATATCTTGTACTGTTGAAAATTATGACCATTCTCAAATAGCTATTCAATATCTAGGATAGGATTTTTCTGTTTACGTGCTGATATGATACGTTGTTGTATACAGTGAATATAATACCCTGTTAGCGCCATTTTCTCACCTACACTGGAGATATGGTCGGGTCAAGGTGCAGTTCTACCATATTATCTCTTTACACGAATTTTCCCTTTTGACTTTGTTCAATCAAGTTTTCATGTTTATTTTGTTTTATCTTATATCTATTTATTGCATAATGTGGACTCAATCAAAATTCCATCTTTTACAGAGAAACCCAAGACGACCATTATCAAAGATCGTCAAACGATCTTAAGTCGAGCATTCATTCACAGGTTCACTTAAAGAGCGATGCCTTAATACAATAAAATTAGTTTCATTGAATACTAATTTCTACAGGAACCAAACCAGTCTTTGCACCGATGGTGGAAACAAGTGCGTGTACTTTCTGTAATGTTTTGCGAACGTCTTTAAAAATTGAGAACTATTCGAGCGGAAGTAATCTCCACCCTGTCGCCCAGTAGGCTTGTTAGTCCTCACAGCCTGTAAGTGCTGTACTATGAATACACCATTTACCGCTTTCCCACAGTTCTAATCGTTAATCGCATACATGTCCCTTAGTAACATTACTACTACACTTAACGGTAAACTAGCTGTATGGAGCTCTCTGCCGGAGCGGGCTTTCAGTCGTTCACCTTTAGGACCTTTTTCTCTGTCATGCATTCAAGGAAAAATAGCGATATGCGATCTAATATTGATTCGAGGCGCCATAAGTTAGAGGCGGACGCAGAATGAATGATTTATCGAAGACGGGGAGAAAAGGGGAAATGATAAAGTTTGTGAAGCGTCTCTTCTGTAGAACCGTTGTTCTTCAGCTCGAGATAGAGATGCGATATTCGTGGATGTCTCAGAAATGAAATTCTGTCTGGTTCATACGATCCATCGATCCTTGCAGCGGCCATGATATTAAATAGGCTTTACTGTGAGTTTGATGTGAGTCGATGTCTCAGGAGTAACCCGTTCAGACCCGAGTTTGGTTGCTTTGATCGTCAGGCCAGTGCTGAAGAGATTCCCCAGCGCCAACTCAACCATACAAATGCCCCAGCAGTTTGGCCCTGCGGTATTATGAATGAGTCCAAATGTCCCTGTGTGTTAGGATAAATGTATTACGTCCATACAGTAGAAGACACCGCGTGGTAATGACATAGAATGATTGCTTTCTACATAGTCTTTTAAAACAGCGCGGAGAAACTCCCAGCAATCGATGAAATAATTGGTACAAAGGTTTCAGGAGGGCGTCACATGTTAAGGTTCTTACAACGAGGAGGATATGAAAGAGGGAGATGGAAACACATATCAAAGCTGGCTGTGGAACTGGTGTTTACTGTTCCCGATCTGGCACGTCCACTTCATGATGCGCTGAATCTCCGACTCACGTTCATCATATTGTTTTAGCTTTAGTCGGTAGGGGCGAGGGATCAATATTTGTGCATTTCATTTGCCCGTAATTGGCACAAATTCCCGCAGCACAGATAGATCCTTGAATCGAACTGCCTTTAATCTAATCCAAGAAGTGCTGGTGTCCGTGCCCCCGTGTACAAGCCATCCACCTCCTTACGAAGAGAGCACGCGGCCTATCAGATAGAAAGCTGGGGTCGATCGCTCCCAAATTCACCCCTTTCTACCTACGTTCATCAATTTGATTCCAGTCTTGTTTAATGGAGTAGACTTCTAATTAAATGCTTGCCGCAACAAGCGCTACTGGAATACCTGATCTCGATCGCCAGGCAGTTTGGTTTGTTAGAGATAGCTCATTAGCTGCTGAAGCGTCCTCAGCCGCACGAAGCATCGACAGCAAGCTTGGATGGTGGTTAGCGGGAACTGTTTGTGTTCCGAAGATAATTATGCACAATTGCATGTAACATTGAATCCCTAACGTTGCTGTCGACTGGATAAGGGAGGGTCTATCCTCTGCCCCACAAGTGCCATCCCTTGGTCGGAAAATGGAAGCACGCCATTGGTGGATGGACAATGTGGACTACAGTATCTAATATATGAGGCGGCTAGTGTAAGAGAAAGTGTTACGCCGAGGGCTGAAGCAACGAGTAAGGACCGGGCACTACCACGACCAAAGATTGAGCCATCTCTCTCCCACTCCTCGAGGTAAGGTCTGTCTTTGATGTATCGACTCGCGTTTTGCTGCGGATGGGGACTAGGCTGGGTTAGGTTACTGCTTCATCTGCGTCCACCATGCATCGCATCATTGTTTTCCTCTCACAAGTAATTAACTTGTCGTCGTAGTTTGTATCGATCTTGAAAACTTTCCCAGTCCCATGTCTGAGCGAGACAATCTAATTACAAGGTACAATTGTTCCCAACAAAACAATTGATGAATGTAATTCTCTGGATACTAGGGTGACCTTTCCGTGTATGTTGGTTACATTCTGATACTGGTTGGTCGTGTGTTCTACATAAACAGGGCGGCACAATGTTCATAAAGATTTTCACAGGCTTATCTAACTTCAGCTGTTCTATAGTTCAAGGGCATGTAGGTATACGTTTATCATCACAATGTCATATTAGCTTCGCACAAATGTACAACTAAAAGAGAACATTTTCTGATAACATATTCTTTAAAGTTGATTATGGTTGCCAATTAGTCTGATTGTCTGATTCTCAAACACCATCTTAATATGACAACAGGCGATTCATTTATTGGGAATGAGAATGATCACCTGTTTGAAGACTTCCAGTGAGCTGTGTTTATGTCGACGGTATAATCCTTCCATGACATAATATGATCGTTGCTTCCCACTCGTTGCTTGCTACTGGATGATGCAGTCTGCCCAATGATGAAAACAGCTGATGACATTGCATCTCTTGCTAGACTTGACTTCCCTGTATCTGGTTTCACCTCGACATGAACCGGTGTATTGCTAGAACCTGACGTGTTAATCCTCAGCTCCTAAGTCTGATCTTGTCATTCACATGTACTCACGCCGTCACCTTGGGCTGTTAACAGGTGTAAGTGTATATATTTTGTTGCTGAATGTTTTCCTTAGATTTTAACCCTATTCAAATTCATGTTTAGAAGTTATGAAACAGTTGTTTTCGGTATACCTTGTACTGTTGGGATGTTGTTGTTTGTGGTTTGAGGCTTTGGGCTAAGGTGTGGCTGGTGTTGGATAGAAGTGTCGAGGGGTGGCTGATGGTGGACCTGGTTGTGGGTCGAGGGGTGGCTGATGTTGGACCTGGTTGTGGGTGCAGAGGTGGTTGATGTTGGACCTGGCCGTGGGTCGAGGGGTGGCTGATGTTGGACCTGGTTGTGGGTGCAGAGGTGGTTGATGTTGGACCTGGTCGTGGGTCGAGGGATGGCTGATGGTGGTCGTGGGTCGAGGGGTGGCTGATGATGTGTCGGTGTTGGCTGATGTTGGACCTGGTCGTGGGTCCAGAGGTGGCTGACGGTGGACCTGGTCGTGGGTCGAGGAGTGGCTGATGGTGGACCTGATCAGTGGTCAAGGGGTAGGTGGAGTGTATCGAGGGTTGGTGAAGGGTGGTCGATGGGGTGCGGGTCAGTTGACTGATGTTTGTTTCTCCATGATATCAAATGTATTTGCCATTCTCTACTTACACTTCCATCAATCTGACGAGGTCGTTATGAACGATCCATGTATATGGCTCTCTTCGATATTTTGGCTGGATAAGCGATGTCATTCTCTGGCGTAGACGTTTTCTATTCCCTTGTGATATTGCTCAGGGCTGTTATGGAATGTCTCTGTTCGTCCAGTGGTCAGTTGCTTAGTTCTTGCATTGCTTCGCTGGTCAATGTTTCGAATCCCAGATTCTATCAGACTCTTGGTTTGCCAGTATTGCATCGTGGCTTGGCCAGGGTGATAAACACCAAAACCTGCACCACTCCCAACTTCTATCTCTCAGTGAGTCGACGCCATGATATATGTGGAACGCGATTCGGTCAAACTCACTTCTCTCACTTACTCACTGCCAGACTTGGTTTTCTTCCTGCTGTGCACGCTTTCACGTTGGCTAAAACTGGCCTGTTTCATACTGAAACTGATTAGATAAGAGTAAATGTGCCTCAGTATGTGTTCTACAGATTAGCTGTCTCCTCGGAAGCTAATCCCAATCGTACATATTAGCATTGGCAGAGACATGATGTGTTTGTCTAGTCAGTGTTGTCATCGAGCTCTGGTCGGACTGAGGATAACCAAGTCACTGTACGCTGCAAATGGCTACATGTGATGACATATAAGACGCTTGGGGCAAAATCCGCCGTCATGTATGGCAATATGGGTTTTCATCTAGCTCTACACACATGCTGAAACAAAAGGAGTGATGACCTCCAGTATTTGATAGTCCTAACTAGATCAACTCACATACTGACACAAGAGACGTATTCTCCAGTGTTTGACATTCCTTAGTAGATCTTCTTACCTAGTGACACCAGAGACCCTTATGTTATAAACAAGATCTGACCACATGACAAAAATCTATTCCAGATCATGTGAAAACTAGAAAATCTGAACCTACTAGAAACACAAGATGTGCCTGAACTGGCTTAAGTACCTAATTATATGCCTCAACTGACTCTTCAAAACCTCAGGGCCTGCATCTAAAATGACGGTTGCTGGGTTCCCATTAACAATGAGACATACAGTCTAACGAAAATGATTGGGAGATTCAAGATGGCATTGGTCCGTGCTCTATCAGTTGATACGTCTGTCTGGAAGAAGCTAGGAAATGTGACCCCTTGTCACTGAATACAACAAACTGTGACATTCTGGGCTATATCCAAATCGCATTCATCACATTCTTAACCTAATTGCTACTGGGTTTAGATCGGACCGCATTATCAGATTGAGGCTGTAGCGAAACCTTCGTATACCGTACAAAAGGAGTTATGTTCTAAACCTGCCTGCTTCTAGAGTTAGATCCAAACTTGCTTAAGACATCAGAGCTGAATACCGTACAATTGGGGTCATAGTCTCAATCAAATTCCTTCTGGGTTTAGATCAGAACACATTATCAGATTACAGCTGTATCTAAACCTTAGTATAGCGTACAGAAGGGGTCATATTCTGAGCCTGCCTACTTGTGTTATTTGGTCAGACCTTAGAGCTATGTACAGAATTCCGATTGTGTGAATAAGAGTTTGAATCTGATCCTAATTATTGATGACTGGTGGAAGAAGATGTAGTAAAGCTGGGAACACTTTAGGCCGACCGACGCCACTGATTCTCACGCCACTTTAGACGGATACATTATACATCCATCAGATGATTGTGGTTAGATTTCAACTATCAGCGAAATACATTAATGGGCCATTTCTATTACAAACCCACATCTGTTCCAAATTTGAATTACATAATGGCGAAATGTGTCAGACATGAGAGCACGTGTTCTAATGACCATGGTGGTAGAAGCAAGGGCAAGTGAGAGACTATTATAATCCAGTGCAGAAGATTTGAAAGCGCCATTCGACTCAAATCGCTCTGCATCTACTTCTTGACGACTTCAGACATGCTGGAAGCGGTGGTGAAACCCATCACATTGAAGAATTCCTTAAAAACTCATCCGAGTCTGACACTTCCTTCAAAAGAACCAATGGCAGATGTTTAGCTGTTGAAACATAAAAAGAAATCTGTTGAAACTTTGACAAAGCATCCTTTGAAAAACAATGAGGCATTTGAAATTTACTGCAATTACGCCCTGACATGCGGATATAACTGTTTGGCTATTATTACAGCGTGATATCATCGTGTCCAACTGCAACCCCCGAGTCTGCAATATTTCTACAGCTGTTGATGCAGTTCCATCGAGGCTCCGGGTTGGGCTGCTGACAGAGATGGTTAAACTCTTATACATTGTAGAAACCCTTGGGCAGAATTTCTGTCAATGTTATTAGCATCTTTAATGCGTTTCTAAATCGAAAGGCGAACCTTAACGTTTGTTTATTAACTATTTTCGTCACCGACTGCCCTTTGGTACAGAACTCAATCATTTGGATGGACATCCATCTCATTAAGAATGTTGTCATAAAGGTTTATTTTTAATAGACGCATACATGAGCTCTGCTACTAGCTTAGAGTGACATGTTTGATCATGTGTTGATCACCTGGTGTCACAGGTGGAATAGGACATGCTAGATCATGTGTTGATCACTGAGTGCCACAGGTGGAATAGAACATGCTAGATCATGTGTTGATCACCTGGTGTCACAGGTGGAATAGGACATGCTAGATCATGTGTTGATCACTGAGTGCCACAGGTGGAATAGAACATGCTAGATCATGTGTTGATCACCTGGTGTCACAGGTGGAATAGGACATGCTAGATCATGTGTTGATCACCTGGTGTTGATCACATGCTAGATCATGTGTTGATCACAGGTGGAATAGAACATGCTAGATCATGTGTTGATCACCTGGTGTCACAGGTGGAATAGGACATGCTAGATCATGTGTTGATCACTGAGTGCCACAGGTGGAATAGAACATGCTAGATCATGTGTTGATCACCTGGTGTCACAGGTGGAGGAAGACATTCTATATCATGTGTTGATCACCTGGTGTCACAGGTGGAATGGGACATGCTAGATCATGTGTTGATCACCTGGTGTCACAGGTGGAATAGAACATGCTTGATCATGTGTTGATCACCTGGTGTCACAGGTGGAATGGGACATGCTAGATCATGTGTTGATCACCTGGTGTCACAGGTGGAATAGAACATGTAAGTTCATGTGTTGATCACATGGTTTCACAGGTGGAATAGAACAAGCTAGATCATGTGTTGATCACCTGGTGTCACAGGTGGAATAGAACATGCTAGATCATGTGTTGATCACATGGTGCCACAGGTGGAATGGGACATGCTACATCAGGTGTTGATCACATAGTGTCACAGGTGGAGTAAGACATGCTAGATCATATGTTGATCACATGGTGTCGCAGGTGGAATAGGACATGCTAGATCATGTGTTGATCACATGGTGTTACAGGTGGAGTAAGGCATGCTAGATCATGTGTTGATCACATGGTGTCGCAGGTGGAGGAAGACATTCTATATCATGTGTTGATCACCTGGTGTCACAGGTGGAATGGGGCATGCTTGATCATGTGTTGATCACTTGGTGTCACAGGTGAAGTAA